CCTTGCAAGTAGTTGTGGGATTTCAGGGCTCCCAGCAGAAATAAACCCCAGCACATGTGGCAGCACCAGGAGGGGCTGCTGGAACTGTTCCTAAGATCAGCTGTGAAACCCAGTGGTAGGAGCAGGAGGGTCCAGCAGCCTTGGTTCTGAAGTGGAACTCAAGAGCACTGGTCCTTGCTTCCTGGACCCTTGGATGCCTTTTCCTCCATCCACTAGGTTTTACACTTCCTGCACTTTGCTACACAGAGATTTTTGTGGTTTTTTCTTTCTTACAGTGTCTGTGGTTTCTCAGGTGGTAACAGGGTACTGGGCACCACTAACAGAAATCATTTGGTTTGGTTCTTTATTATAAATTTGTTTTTCTAACAACCTGATTTCTCTGTCTTTATGGATTGCCAGCTGTGCTGGTCTGCAGGTTTATTAGCAGCATTTCTCTTGTCTGGCCACAGTGTTGGTTCCCCAGAGGACACTGCTGAGCTCCCTGGGCATTGATCTTTATTCACCTCTGCACTTGAGTGGTTTGGCCACCAGCTCTTCCACTACCACTTGTCACAGCAGCAACGTGTGTCATCAGTCAGTGAGAGGGGTAAGAGAAGGACTTGCTGCAGGTTCTAGGGATTTGGCTCCATGCAAATGGCTTCTGACTTTCTTAACTTCTAGAAACTCAGCTGCTTTAAAGACAGATTTTAGAAGCAACTTCACAAACTCAAGTAGGTCAAATTGCATTTCCTAAGACAATACTGCCTGTTACTTAAACATTGTTATTACTTGTAGTGTTCTGTGATCAGCAAGCAGAAAATGTTCAGTGGCCATGAGTGGAAAAATATCCTGAAATCACAGCTGAAGTCACAGGCTGGAGTTTTCAGGCAAGATGTTGCATAATAGTCTCATTGTAAGGGCTTCACAAATTAAATGTGCTTTGTAACAGGTTGCACAGATGTTTTGTCTCGGGACTTCCACCCACCATTACATGTAGTATGAAAAATTAAATTAGTTGTAATGTTACTAGCTTATCCAAGAGTTTATCAAGCAACAGTACATGATAATGCCCTAAGGTACTTTCAGTCTGGCTTTACAACTTGTAGTTATGATCTCAGAGTTGATCATAAAGTTGGGAGTGTTAAGTTAAAAGCAGACTGTACCAGATGAGATTCAGCCAATCAATCTTTGACAGATCTAGTACAGCCTGAAAATGTCACTGTTTGTCTGTAGCTACAGGTTTTAGTCACTGTTAAGAGACTTTTTTGCAACTAGAAGGTGTTTACTGTTTTGCTTTAAAAGTGATGTGCTTTGCTATTTTAAATATAACAGCAAAATAACTGCTAGTTATCAGCTTCTAGTTATGGCATTAGGTCAGTTAAACCAGTTCACATAAGAAATAGTAAAAACTTCTGGGAAGAGCTACTCACAGTAAAGAAAAATGTAATTTCCTGAGGAGCAAGCACTGGTTCTGCATGTAGAGCAAAGGCCAAGGGGGACTCACCAGCTTCACACAGATGATGAAAGGAGGAGCAGCATCTCTGAAGTGACAAATAGGAATCCTGGGTTTTGGTCTCTCCTGCAGAGAAGAGGAGCAGACTTGAGCAGAGAGGCACAAGATAACTGGTTAGCTGAGCTTTAGGAAAACATTCTTTTGAGACCTCATGCTAAACACAGTCCAGCTGGTCACACACTCCTCTCATTATTTTCCCAGTCTTTCAAGTACCCTTTATTTTCTTAACTTAATTGTGTTTCTTTGAACAAAGTCACACATTCCACCAGATTAAGAGCCTTCTGATGCTGAAAGGAGGTCTCACTCCTGCACTGCTTCCTCCTTACCTCCAGGCTCTGCTTTTCCCCCTCTCCCAAACAGCTCCCTCACTGATCTAGCTGCAGGATACATGGCTTTAACAGCCCACTCCAGAAAAACAGGCTCTTTTTAATTGTCTGTCACTCTGATGAGCTGCAGCAGCTCACTGTGCCACCAGAGAGGCATCAGAGCAGGCACCACAGCAGGTACAAAGCAGAACCTTTCCATCTCAGTGGGAGCTGTTATGGTTGGCTTGTGCTCAACTGGGACTTTACCAGGGATCCAAGCTGCAGACTTTGCTAAGGCTTCACCACAGGTTGCCATGCCCTCTGTGACTGATCTGAGAGGCTGGGAATGTCTTAAGAAGACCTGTAGCAATTATGCCGACAGTATTAATTGGAGTGTAGCACTGAGTGCACCCTCAGTGTGATGGCAACAACACCAGGGTGTGTGGGGAGGTGACAGGCTGGGGGGAAGGGGGGGCACCCGGAGGGACCGGGACAGGCTGCAGAGCTGGGCTTGTGCAAACTGCATCAAGTTCAACCAGGCCAAGTACAAGGTCCTGCTCCTGGGTCAGGGCAATTCCAAGCTCAAATCAGGCTGGGTGGAGAATGGATAGAAAACAGTCCAGGGAAGAAGGACTTGGAGGTGCTGGTGGATGTGAAGCTCCACATGAGCAGGCACCGTGTGCTGGAGCCCAGAAACCACCCGTGTCCTGGGCTGCAGCAAAAGCAGCATGGCCAAGTGGCTCACTCATTAGCTTCCTAGTGTAGAATTTTACTTCACAGTTATCTAGTCTAAGCATGAGCTGTATCTGAGGAGGTGCCCTCCCTCTCTCTCCCTCTAGCCCTCCCCTCAGTCCTACTCCCATCAGATACAAGGATCATACACTCTCGGGGCAATTTGATTCATCAGATAACTTGCTGGAAAACTTTTTCTTTTGAGGGTTGCTTTTCTGCCAGATCAACTAACTGAATCAGGTCATCCTGCAGCCACAAGATGGCTAGACCCATGATAAACAAAGCAGTGGTGGTGTCAGACCACCCCTGCAGCTGCAAGGTCAGATGGCACCCTGGAAGGCTGTGCTGACAGGGTCTGGGCCAGGGAAACTGAGCACTGTCCCTTCACCAACTGCTGTAGGGAATCAGGATGAATCCTGAGCTAATTGCTATCATGTAATTAACAGTACCCTAGGACAGCTGTTTATCTCCATCTGCATCACAGAACCACAGAATATTAGGGGTTGGAAGGGACCTCCAAAGATCATCGAGTCCAACCCCCCTGCCAGAGCAGGACCAAAAAGCCTCACACAACTAGGGAAGGACACTCAGAAAGGCATCCAGACAGGTCTTGAAAGTCTCCAGAGAAGGAGACTCCACAGCCTCTCTGGGCAGCCTGGCCCAGGGCTCTGTCACCCTCACAGGAAAGAATTTCCTCCTCAGGAACTTCCTGGGCTCCTACTTGAATCCATTGCCCCTCGTCCTGTCCCAGGGCACAAGGGACAAGAGCTTGTCCCTGCCTTCTTGATGCCTTCATGTATTTATAGACATTCATTAGATCTCCCCTCAGTCTTCTTTCTAGATTGAAAAGCCCCAGGTAAATGTTAGTTTTACCTGCTTCCTAGGGAATAAAAATGTTGCTGCCTACAACTTCAGGCACCCCAGGAACCTATCAAAGTTTTACTCAGGTACAGTTTAATTTCTGGATAGGTTCCAACAGAACAGGGAAGCTTGCTTTATTTTAATAGATACTTGACTTTTATCCATCATGAGCCAAATTCTAACCCAACTTTAAAGAAAACACTGCCAGTGAAGGCTGGGTTTTGCCCCACCATCACAATATATATATCATTTTGCCTTCCTAAACTGGCTTCACTGAGTGTGAAGCCCATTGTTGTGGCTCCATAGCTCACTCTCCAGTATCAGCTCCCAGCTCTCTGCTCTTCTGTCACAGCCTCCTTTCCAAAATGAGTTGTTATGCAATGTTTAGAATCAGTGATGTTTCATCACATTTCCCAGCACACCCCTAGATCACAGTAAAGAATGTAAGAGCACCTTTAACTAACCTCAGAGGCTTCGTAAGTGTAGAATCCTTTTGTTATTTTCTTTTCATCGACATCACAAAATGCAGTTACCTGGCAAAAGAGCAGCAGAGCATTTCAGTGCCATCCTTTGCTACCAGCAGGGCTTTTCCCTGCAGTGTATGGTGCCAGGAATGCTACAGGCCTGTGAATGAACTCAGGAACAGGGTGGTGCACCCTGCTCCTCCTGTGGAGCTTAACAATCTATTAAGTCCTTTCCAGGTGTATCTTAAGGAGATGGGCAGATTTTGCAGTTGTCTGTGAGCACATCATGTCTTTACAAACATCAGAGCTACTGCCTGAGAGCAAACCTCTGTGAGACCATCACCTTCATCCTCAGCAATACACCAAGTAACCTGAGAACAGAGGCAGACCCCCTCGTTTTTGCATTTCCATTGAACACTGACATCAGATCATCCAAACCTTCCTCTTTCTGCCCACCCTGAGCAGACAATCTGCACCAGTCACCCCAGCACTGCTGCCCTGGCTCTGCTGGTAATACCAGCCCCAGCTCTAGGTCACAACACACCAAGTTTGGGAATTCCTGTGGGTTTGGACTTTGTATTTTTCAACTGAAAAGTTCAGCACATTTGGTGTTTAAACACATATAATTACTCCTTCATTTTGGTTATTCTTACTGTAGTTAGGGAAGCATTATTCACAGCCCTAGTTGACAAATATCTCAAATGGTTTTTAATGTGCATTCCTCATAAATATGCAGGCAGAATAAACGTCTGCAATCCAAAATACACAGTGGCCTCATTTTTGAACCATTACATTGCCAGAAACATTTTGGAAGACTTTTTAAAATAAACATAACAGTGTTTTCCTCTGGCTTCCCTTGGATCTATTCACATTATCTACACAGAGCTCTTATGCTGAAGCAGAACAGTTAAGGTAGTTGAGGTCTGGCAGAAATCAATTATTCTGGTGAAAGCTGGAGAGCTGTTTTCCTATATTTTTAATTGTTGCATTAAAAATTGATTAACAACACTTACTGCTGAGAAAATCTGAAAAGCCAAACAGCTGTTTATTAATTTATTAAGTTAGAGAAGCTGCAAAAGGCTGGCTTGCTTTTGGTGTCTGCAAAACTCTCTCACACATTTTCCTCCTGTGATTAAGATAGTTTTCTTTTACCTGAAGTGACCTCATTCTGTTTGTGCAGAGGAAAACACTTTGGCATTTTTTTTCTGCTACTTCAATCCTGACACCTTCACAGGCCAAGGGCAAAACTGCAGAGGAACAGGACTGTGTGATCTGTGTTTTCAGGCAGTGATCAGGGAGAGCTTCATTCTCTTGCAACATAAAAGGGGTTTCTATATTAAAAATACTTCAGAGATACACCCATTAGCCAGTGGAACAGTTTTCTAGACAAATCCTTAAATACTATCAGTCCTTTCATTAAACATCAATGGAAAGAGGGTCAAACCAACAATAGCAGGTGACTACAAACATGGTTAAGTACCACCATTGTTCAAAATTAACGTGGAAAATTGAGATTATAAACTGGAAGGAGTGGGCAGGGATAGTCCTTGAAACACTTGGAGGGAGACATTCATACCTGGAAAACTGGTTGCTTGAAAACAGGCACCAAAATGAAGAACAGAACATGAAGGAAACATTAAATGTTCCCTCTGGGGGTGTATGAGTAAAGGAATCACCTCACAGGGCAGCAGAGTCAGGTTGTTTGGATGATGCTGATGCAGGGACTGCAGTAAGGACACTGCCCCTGGGTCAGGCATTATCATGGAAATAGAAAAGAGGAAATTCAGGGCAGTTTTGGGAAGTCACTAGACATTCTAGTCTAGTGACTTAGTCACTAGACTAAGTCTAGTGACTTAGTGTCCAAGGGCCTTCAGGCAGATGCAGGTTGAGTCAAAACTCCTTCAAGCTCAAAGACTAAGAACCAGGATGCTTTTAGGCTTTTTTTTTTTTTTTTCTCCTCTCTCTTTGACAAAAGTTAATACACTTGACATCCCTGGCCCTGCTTTCATGACCACTGCAATGATTGATTGTAGCTGAAAAATCAGATGGTGTGGACTTAGCACAGGACACTACATCCCAAGATGTCCTCTACCCATCTTATTTACATGTGCACATACACACACATATAAATATATGAAGGGAATCCAACATAAGCCCCTCTGGAAAGAAAGGTCACTCAGCTGCACACCTGCCATTCTGTGTTTAGCACTTTTTAAATTCTCCAATATTGTGTAGACCTCAGTTCCATCACTGATGTTTCACTGCCTTAGAAGCTGTGGTAATTGTGAACAACATGTAGCAGGGTCTGTGTTCACTGTCAACCCAACAGGGTCTGGGAATAAATACACTGAGTTACCTTTCAATAAGTTAAGGTACTTTTTCAGCTGCTTATACTCCTATAGATTTTTGCTCCTATAGATTTTCCCTTAGAAGATGGAAGATTATTCTAACCTTCTTTTGAGGTACCACTAGGGCATCTCCATGTCTAATTTTCAATGGATTCAGCCAGCTTAAATCCAATATTTACAGTATTACACAACAGGTCAGGCTTGTATGGGCAATTCTTCTGCCAGACTCTACACCATGTGGGTGGCCAAAATGGAACTCAGCTGTTTTCCTGACACACACTATTCATTTTCCAATTAAAGAAAATCTGTGTCTGGAGTCTAAATACAGGACTTACGTGCATTTGTTTATTCTATATGGAGAACTCAAGGCATCAGGATTATCTGAGTTATTTACTTTATACTATCAGGCTAAACCCAGAGTTACCTATTTATTTTCCTGCATTAATGATCTGCTTTCTTTCATCTTTTATGAAGACCATCTATCCATACATGAACTACTGTCTCGCAGGGAGGAACCTATGAATTATAAAGCTATAAAGCAGTCTCAAGTTGTTGGTATTTTCCCTTCCTTCCAGCAAAATGGCTCTTTTGCAACTCTTTTCCTCTGACAACACGACACCACTGAAGTTTAGTGAGTCCTCACTTCCATTTTATGAAAACACATTCATGATTACAGATTTGTTTGGGACACCATGTGTTTGAAAATCACTGCAATTCCAAAACAAAGAAAAAAGACTGTTATGTCTTCCAGCTAAAAATTGGAAGAGACACCTGGATATCTGGTAGCACAAGGTACATAATTACTGTAACTAACTTTGACAAGTATGGATTGCAACATACATTAACAATGGTGTAAGGGGAAAAGGAGAAATAGTTCTCTCTCATAAGAAAGTTTATATGGTCAAAAGATATTTACTCAGAAAAAAAAAAAAACCTCTGCTAGGTGAAGACACGTTTGAGGAAGATAAAAGCACTTCTCTGGTTCTTTTTAATAAACACTGCAGCTGTGTACAGGGACACAGGCTGGGACTATCAGACCTCCCTGTGGTAAAAGGAGATTAATGGGCAGGAGAATCATCCTATTCCAAATGTACAACCTAAGAAGTCAGAAAGAGTGAGTTTGGGGGCAGCTGTAACCATCTAGCTGTTTGAGTGTGCTACTGTTACCCAAGAAATAAAGAGTTTGCTTCATATTTGGCTGGTTTGTTGTCTCTGGCTACTGTAGAGGATGTTTCCTTACACTTCCTGTTCCACTCAGATTTCTTAATGGAAAAACTGCAAGATTTAATCAGCTTGTTAATGTCCTTTGATGGTGAATGAACTTCCTAGGATTTTATTTCCTCATCTTATTTTCACCTGTGGTCTGCCCTAGGTCTGTAGTGACCATTTACTGAAAAGCAATGCAACAATCACAGCCAGTTCTCCAGGTCTGTTCTAGGATACCAGAGTTTTACAAGGGAGAGGGAATAACTGGGTAGAGCATGACAGAAAAAATGAACAATCCTTTTGATGAATTGTCTCCTCTTCCTCCTCATGACACCAACTGGTCTCATAAAATTGATCTTTAAAGAAGGCTGCAAAGCCTGCAAAATCCTGTATGATCAGATCTTCCCTATCACCTTCTCTCCACATCTCCTGCAGTCCTGCATTCATCTTAAACTTCTAGTGACCCTGTTGATTCTTCTAGTTATAATTCTCATTCAAACTTACCTAGAGCCTTGGAAAGATGTTAACATACATCTCTGCATCAAGTTAAATCGATTTTGGCCATTCATTTCAAAACCAAGTAACTGAAAGCATTATCGTGCAAGGTTAAACAGATAGAGCCAATGACAAACAGCACCAGAGACAGGCAGAGGCATCAGCATCTCCCAGCAGGGCACAAGCAGAGCCATGAAACCAGCAAGCAACTCTCTGTCACAACCCAAGTGATTCTCAGTACCAGGGTGCTGCTTGGATTTCACCTCTTCAGCATCACAGGCATGACAGGAGCTGTGGGGACCTTGACATTCCAAGCATGCATTTCATGGCTCCACAGCAGCATCTTCCCTCTCTGCACACAGACAACAAAGCTGCTCCAGAGAATTTTAACACATGCAAAAGCAGCTTCTAAGTTTTGTACATCCAGAATTTCCCTTATCACATTTACCACACAACTGCCTTTACATGGGACACTGTGGGAACTGGCTGCAAGTGTCTCAGTTCTTCAGCACAGCTCTCTACCTGAGTGGTGCTAGGAACATTCCCAGCCTGTGTGCCCCTCCACTGACCACACAGACACTGCAAAATCTCTTCCTTCCCCAGGGGAAGCAGCAGGGAGATTTCCCTATTTCAGCATCAAGTATTTACTACAGTACAACATGAAGCCTCTGTTTCCCTCCCAGTCACTTCTGCATGTTTTATACCTGGGTTTAACTGAAGCTTTCCAGTATCACCTCCCTCTCCCAGTTCTCTAGGCTTTTAACTTGTTTCCATATTGTCATTCTACCTTTCACTCCACAGCCAAGGTGGGTGTAAAATTCTTTCTTTTAATTTCTTGGCTTTTTCATGTCCCCACCTCTGTCTCTTACCCTGCCATTGATACACTTTAGAGTATTAAAATGCTACAAAACTTCACCACTTCTTGCTTTTGTTGAGTGAGCTGATGGCTCACAGTTGAGCTATGTGGTTCAGTGATGCTGCTTTTAGAAAAAGGTGAAGAGAAACAAACAGAAGCTTTTAAATGGTTAATGAGCAAAGAAACAGGGTATACAAAATACTTCCTTGAAGCTTTCAAGTTTGCCACAGGCAGATAGGGTTGTCAGAGAAACTTCATGGGCTGGCTGTGTGCTAGTTCTGTTTCCATGCCACTAATGAGCTGATGCTTATTTTGTCCTCTCCCTCTTCTTTTCTCTTTGCTACTTGAGCACTATTTTCAGCTCTCGGAAATGACACAAAATGTTAATGTTCAAGTTCTCCTTTTAGCTAAATTTTGAGGGAGGATAAAGGAGCAGACAAGACAGCTCAGCAACCCTCCAGGCATCTGTAGCATCCCAAAAACATTTGGTTTCCATCTTAAGCTGCAAATTATAGACAAGACGGATGTGTTTTAAACAAAACAAGGTCTGTTTGACTTCATTCTTGCAGAAATGCTAATACTGAACCACTGTCAACTGTGTGAATCAAGAAGGGGACAGCCAGGAAACTGCATTTCCCTGAGAATACTGAGATCCTGGTAATTAATTCATAAAAAAAACCCCTAGAAGTTGAGTAATTTTTTTCTTGTGTTGCTGTTTAGCAAAAATACTGAGCCTTGGATTTTTGCCTGAACTCTTTGGAGACATATTTTAGTGTTCATCACACAGATGTCTGAAGGAAAGGAGTGAATCTTGCTTAGGTGTCCCTTTCTCTTTTAACAGAACCATCATTCAAATTCAGACAGTTTTCCAGAAAGACTGAATTAGTAATTTTTTAGTGAGTATGAGCATACACAGACTGCTGCTTCCTGGAATTGCTAAAATTTTGTTTTCTAAGAAACAATGTTGTTTGGCATGAATCTCATAGAAACCTAGTCAGTATAAGAAATGAAATTGCTTTGTTTATCAGGTTCTAAAAATACTAGAAGCATTCTTTTTTTGAAAAAGATGTTTTTTGTGTGCCCTAAGCTTGACAGTTTCCTAATCTCTTTCTGAAGATACAGTAGACTTTAGTATTTTCACAGTTATAAAACATTATAAGCTGGGTGTAATGGGCTTTTTGCTGGGTTTTATTATTTATTCTAGGATTATGTGTCTCAGATTTTCTACAGGTACTTAGTGCCAGTTTAGAAAACAACCTTGCTGTGACTCCACAATCCAACCAAAATCAGTCTTATCCCATCTGATGAAATTCTGAATCTCAATAAAAGGATGCAGCAACTGCATAACACACCATGGGTGAAATAAACTGTCTTAAAGTGAAAAAAAACAAAACACAGCACAAAACTGAAATTAAATGTAGACAGTTAAATTGTATAGCTTAGTTAAACTGTACAGCTCAGTTAAATTATACAGCTTATTTTGGCAATTTAACCTGCATTTCAAAGGGTTTTAAACCTTTTAAGATCACACTGCTTCCCACAACTGGACCTTCAGAGAAGAAAATAATTGTATTGATGTAATACACCATATTTTGTCTTAAGGGGCTTTTGGATTGTATTTTTAAAGTGTCTGTTTTACATAATTGATTAATTCATATCCCAGGGCCTCCACAACACTAGATTCTACCTGCAGATTCAAAATGCTACTGGTTCTCTAGTGTTCCCATCATTAACAGGATATATAAAAGCTTAAACCTTGTTCAGGTAGACTTTAAAGGGTGAGACAGGAAAAGTATTTTATTGGTTTTGGGGCTGGAAAGGATGAAGCAACAACTATTAACAACCTTTGTTCATATGGGATTTTAGTGTCTTTGGCAAGACCTGAAGATTAGTCACAAAATAGCTGAAGGATTTTTAAAGCAAAGTATAACATGGAGTTTAACTAGCCTCTCCTTTTACTGTTACTAATTTAGAATAAAATTAAAACTTCCCTTAATTACCTACTGCAAATTTTATTAAATTATTTCCTGAAACTGGAGCAGCATAATCCTATGATTAGCACTTAGAAGTGAGAGTTTCAACTACTTCTACAGCCTTTTGCCAAGGACTTACTATGAAACATTAGGATATAATTTCAGCTTCAGTTCTGAATGAGATGGATAGACTTAAGATCTCACTTTTGGAAAAGCCAGGAATTACAATAGAAATCATAATGAGCCTGAACAACTACCTAAAACTAATGCTTTGGTGCCTACAGATAACACATTTCATCAGGAATTAGCTGCCTAAAAGTTAGGCCTCTACTTTCACTTAGGATACGAGTCACTTTCTGAAGCTGTTTACCTTTGTTGGTTATTGAGAAAACCTCTGCATCCTTCAGATAACAAGTCAGACTTAGTGGATAAATTTGTTTACTTTATATAAGATGTCATTGATCTGCCTGTGACTACACCTTAGCAGCAATTTTTTTGCAAAATGAGTCATGCTTGGCATGTGGGACTGCATCTGGCATGTGAGCTTGCTAAATGTGTCTGCTATAGTATCTAGTAATTAAGGAGTTAATGCTCAATGCACTATTTCAATATCAACCTAAAGCACATTGGAATATGGGCAAGAGTGACCTTGACAGAAGCAAAATAGTATCATGGCCTGCAGCACTGCCAAAGGAAATGTTATCTAAAGGTCAGCTGGAAAGAACATCTAGATCCAGTTAATTAGAACCACACTGGCAGTGCTGGCATCCTGGGGCATGAAGGCTGTTCCTTACTGAGGAAGAGGGAACCTTTGGTTCTTTGGCAGAAAAATGACTTAAAAAACCACTGGTATTCTTTTTTCTCTTGCCCTTTTTATAATCTCTGAAGTGACATCTTCAAATTATTGTGATGTTTGCTGAACAGGATGTGAAGTCCTGCATGAGTCACCTATACAAGTAGGTGGCAAATGTAACCCAAAGCTACAGAGGTGTTCTATCTTCATATCAATTTCCATTTTAGCTTGACACTAAAAAAGCTAAAAAACAAAACAAACCCCCCAAAAAACCCCAACACCTTAGATGGTAACACACTGCTACAAAAACAACACTGTCTGTTTTTTCCATAACATCTCCAGAATCTACCAGACAAGCTGCCTTCTCAATCCTTGGCACTTAGACTCCAATTCTTGTAATTTTGCAGACGGAAAAGTGCAGTGGCTGCCAGAAAACTGGTGGAATTCACTACATGCTCTGCCAACTGCTAACATCTCCTGAACATCTTCATAACCCCCCCAAAGTCAGGTGCACATTTCATGGCATGACCAAGATGACTCAATGCATTTAATGGACAGTTCTGTCCTCCTTGCATGAAGTAACTGATTTGGGACATTTTAAATCCTCTTTCTTCATGAAGTTCACCCCTCACTGCCACTTGATGACACTGAAAGGGATGGCACTGGAATATCAAGCAGAAAATTCACATACAGTTCTTGTGTTGTCTATTTACTGCACAAGTGCCTCCCACACCTATTGAGTAAATTCAACTATGAGTATACAAATTCCTTCTTTTCCTGACTCTGTGTGTGGTCTGAGGGCCACCACATTCATCAAGTTTATATATGTCTCTGTCATTTTGTCTTTCCAGCCATACTTTTAAGAAAAGAAAACACATTTGGTAATAAAATTAATGTTCTGCGGCTCTTAACATGAAACAACCATTTGACATTAGCCCTAAAGCCTTTATCTAATAGAAGTCATGACACAAAAGAATATGCTATAAAATTGAAGCATTTCAACTCTCAGACAAATCTCCCCAGAGAAATAACACAAGTAACCCTCATATTTTCAACTGATGGCAAATGTAGTCATGTCCAATAGCTTCTACTCTCCTGTTTACCCAACGCTCCACCCTTTTTAAACAATCAGGCTTTTCAGAAAGGAGTTACAGAACTGCTCGTGATATAAACCAGTGTGATCAACAGGGACCTGTCCTGTATCTACTTAGGAACTGGGAAAATATTCTACGTGGATGAATAACCCTGGACAAGGTAGGTTTAGTGTTCTACCATCCAAATAGAGAGTTACTCTGCTCATCTTGGCTGCCTGGCTACTCAGTGGTTAGTTACACAGTGGCAGTCATAACCAGCTGCATAACTTAGTCATCAGGAAGCAGGAACAGGGGAGCAGATGTTGCACTACATACACACCATCCAGGCTAGATAATGCAACACAGCATTTTAAAGGAAGAAATACATTATGCATACAATATTGAGGGTTTCCCCAATTTGTATTAGTCATCAACCAGTACTTTGGGGACAAAACATGAGAATTTTGCTACATGATGTTAGAAGCAGCAAGGGTGCATATGAAAGAGAAGATGATGGTTTGGTACAGACTAGCTCACCTTTTTCTGATTAGCTGGTGACAAGCTTCTGTAGAGCTTCTTGCCCTGCTTGCCAGCATTCCAAATGGTGAATGATGCCCAGGAGCTCAGGACTCTGTCTTCAAGAAACCTGACTCGGTGATTCCAGATGGTTCCCCTGCAGAGTTAGAAAAAAAAGGTATATTTTGACCTCTAAAACTTCCAGCATTACTATATACCTCTGTGCAGGTGTAACATGCTCACATACACATGAACCTGACCAAACTGACTCACACAGGATACAAAAGAATCACACCAAAATGTTATACTAAGTATTTTCAAGGGAAATGTTAACTGTTGCTAGAACTTCTGTGGACGTTCTCGAGCAAAAATCATCAAGGTGGATGTGAAACTGTAGCTAAACAACTATTACTTTCAAGAACCCTAAAAGATGATGTTCTGCATTGCAAGAAGATGAAAATCTTCGGCCATGGTAATCACATTCATTACTGACAATTCCAGCTGCCCACCCATACCCTGTCTGCCCATTCCTCTCCTCAGTATGAACTGCTCTATAGCCCTGCAGCACACCCAAACTATCTCCTAAATCCAAGATTGCCTCTTCATGTTCCATCTGCCCTTACATACATTCTCCTTTGTCAATGAAAAGTTGAAATTTCACACATTCAGTACCCTTAATTGACCCAAATACTTAAAAATTGACCCAAAGGATGAAGCACATGGCTTTGGAATCTGGAATGAGGGAACACTTCACATCTTTAACATCTGAAGGGAACATATTTAAATACTGAAGACCCATAGAGATCTTCAACAAGTTCAAGATAGGTTCTTAGAAAGAGAATACAACTTCAAGGAAAGCATTTTGTTCACAGACCATTCCTCCCAACTGTGAAACTCACTTGGACAACTACAAGTGTTTCTTCATGCATATCACTTTCAAGCAGGTTTGCTTTTAAAATGGCAATTTGCACCCTAAAATGTAATATTTAAAACAACATAACTTACAATGGCTTGGAAAAAAAAGCCATTTCAGTGGCTTAGAAAAGTTGGGTAACTATTTAAAAAAAAAAATAATTATAATATTTTAACAACAGGAATCATGTGTTTTCATTTGTGCTGGTCCTGCCCATCCCTGAGCAATGGTTTGAACCACATGCAGTCCCTGCAGCACTAAGACACGTGGTTTCTTGCTGGGGTCATTAATCAGCTCCAGAAAGCCCACCTCACCTCACTCCAGCCTGTGATTTCTGAGTACAGCCAAGTCCTGCTGAGCACTTCACCACTGACTGTGGGGTGATCACTGGGAAAGAACTTCACAAATAAAATTTAAAAAAAAAAAAAAAATGTACCAAAGCAGCACAGCTAGTCCATAGAAAATTTCCACACTGTTTTAAGGACTATGTCCGTGCACCAGCACATCAACTAAGGGATCAAGAAAAATCTTGGATTTGATTCCCAATCTCCCCTAATGCAACCACAGGCTGCATTACTGCTGCAAAGCTTTAGCTGCTGCTGGCATCCTTTGACACTTGCCTTTTTCCATGTTCATTAGAGCATACTATATTACCAAAAGGAAAGTTAAAGGAGACAAATATGAAGGTCAAGTATTTTTCCAGGACCATTTTGCTGGCAATTTTAGAGCTTCTGCTGGCTTCCTAAAAGGGAAGATTATTGCTTCTCATGTAAATGGAAAGGTTTTAAAACTGATTTTACTTTGATATGTGACCTCAGAAGGATAATACTGTATTACATCCCAGAGGTACCTCAGAATCTGTTCTGTTCACTTGAGTGACACAGACAAATTTCTTTCCCACTTGAGTTGCAAAGTTAAGAAAGCCAAGGAAAAAAATAGGCAACCTTGCCAGGCAAAAAATAATTATCAGCTAACTTCTAGTTGTAGAGCAAACATTGGCATCTGAGTCCAGACACACAGGAAATATTTCCAATTGCCATGGAGATGTCCCAGTATATTCAGTACTGGTTACTTCCAGACAGCAAGCATTTGCTGTCTAGATGATGGGTGCCTATAATCCACAGAAGTCCCTATAAATTGAAAATCCAAGCAGACTAAATCCCATTGTTGGTCATCACCCACAAAGATTTCAGCCTGAAGCAAATTTACTGACCCAATGAATGTTAGAGTGAAAAAAGCAAGTGGGGAAAGGAACTGCAGAAATAAAAGGACAGGAAAGTTATCAAAAACCAAATTAATTGGATCACTTTTCAAATACAATAATTTTGTCAGACAGCTTCATTTAAGCACCAGTAAGTGGCTTTCTTAAATACCTATTTTGTGTGGTGAAAATGAAGCCAATATACCCAGCAGTTGTCACTTTTTCTTTGCATCACTATGAGGCATTCTTACGAAAATGTCCACAGAAAAGAATTTTAAAATCACACCCCCATATTGTGTGTCACCTTTTCAATGAAAATTTGAAGTTCTATGGGACACTTTTCATCCCTGAGTTAACCTTGAAACACTTTGAACAGTGCAAGCTAAGATCAGCAGGTAAATACAGAATTGAGGGAAGAATTTGTGACTGAGCTTTAGAGCAGGAATCACAGACTTCATCTTTGGGAAAACTTGCTCAGCACAAACCATGTATCTCATGTGCTGAAGCAAAAGGAGTTTATGGTTTGTCAAAAGAGAGAGTTTCAGTTATCCCCTTCAGGTTTCCGGTTCACCTAATTTGCCACGTTTTTTGATGTTTCCAGAAGAGATAACTGGGATTCCTGCCTTGAGGGAAAGGGAATGCCATTTTCCCACCCTTTAAGAGCCAGTGCAGGTGCAACAGATGGGAACTGTAGCAACGTGCAAAGGATGATTAAAGAGAATGCCTGAAACAATCTAGAAGTTGCACAAACCACTACTTAGAGACAATTCTCACAGCTATTTTCAGATTTTGCATTATTACATATTCAGAGCCACCAGCAAAAACTAGGAGGTGTTATTACTCTGCACCATCCCAAATCAAGGCTGTTTCTCCTACCCAAGCCAGAAAGGATTAAAGGAAGGTGCTTCCCAGTAGCTTTTAGTATAATTTCCTAGCCTAGATCCAGTTAACAAGATTTTCCTCAGCCAGAAGGTGGGATACAAATTCTTCTGACCATCAAAGTTTGTTCCAACATCCCAGTACTCCTCCCTGATCCAAATTCTTGAAGTACATTATTTTCCCCATTTCTTCCATTTTCTTGTCAGTTTTTCCCAAAAGAAATGTTAGAAGTATACATTTTTCTACTTGGAAAAATCATTCTCAATGCTTATGGAATTTTCCTAAGATCTCACTTGCTGCGGCCCCTCAATCCTCATCAGTTATGTAGCCTGGAAGGAAGAAGAGGAGCCAAAATTCTGCAGGAGTGGAATGAGGGTATTCATGCAGTGGGTGAGAATAACTACGAAGCATGTTCCTCAGTCCCAAGCACTTATGACCACACCATCTACCCAGTTAATGTAACAATGGAGCTCTGTTAAAATGTGTGGTGACCTATTGACTGAATACAGGAGTCAAGGAACATCTGCTCTACTCCTATTTTGAAATGAAAGATAATGTGACAATAAAAGTTATATGATTTAATGTCTGAGCTCAGTCAAACCTCGCCATATTGTTCGACTGCCTTTCCCCTCCTTCCCCCAGTGAGCTACATAAGTGAATCAACAGACCAAAGACAGATGTACAAGTACTTGAGAAATGCAAATACAAGCCCAAAATCCCAAACAGGACTGGAATATAAGGCATTGGTTCCCAACCACAGTGATACTATGAATCCATACATCTGTCCCTGTCTGGATGCGCTGGACCCGCAGGCTACTCAGGTAACAGGCAGGAAGAGAAGCTGGTCAAGGGAACAGCCTCTTCCAGTGTTTTTTTATTTGTGGCAGGATGAGAGCTCTGTGTTACAGGTGCATCTCACCTGATAGAAAATCCAGAGATAGAACAGAGAATTTTTCAACCGCAGTGAAAGAACAGATTCTTTATAGCTACTTTTGCACACAAAATTCAAGGTCTTTAAAATCCACAGGAAATTCAGAAATGAATCCCATTTGAACCTTGACCATGCTGGTGAATAAACTTATTTTTTTGGTCATCGTTGTTCTGTTGAACTTCATGTGAACTTATTAATTGCTGGACGATATCGTCCCACTGAGTTATTACATTTACACTGTTAATAGGTTCTATTAATGTCTGAGTTCATCTTCAGGTCATGGGTCATTAACTGAGGCATGGTTTGCATTGTGGCCTATTTTTCATGAAAGGCTTATTAAGACAGACAGAGACTATCCATGTTAATACCATTTACTTTTCAAGAATCTAATGAGGTCATTAGTTTCCATGTTTAATTGAAGTGCCAAACACAAGCATAAAAGATAAAAATGCAGTTGACCTCATCTTTATTTCAGCTGTACAGGAATATGCAATTCCTCTGGCCTGCCTATTTTGGGATGCACATGTTTTGACTGAGAGCAACCCCACGCCCCAGAGTACCTCTAAAACAACCAAATGTGTGTTTCAGACTAAGTGCCTGTTCTCCTTTGCTCTACATGACACTGGAAGCTTCTAGTGCCTGAAACCAGATGGTTTCAATAGATGATGTAATTTTGGTTATTGCTGCAGAACAAGCTCTTTTACAATATTCTGCTCACTCTGAATACACAGCACGTGAAATTACTCTAAGCCTTATAAGTGCACTTCACATTTTCTGTACTAAAGGGAAATGCCTGAATCTTAGATGAAAGGTACAAACCTTATTTTCTGCTTCTATTAAATTTCTCTTGACCAAAAGCTTGCAAATTGCTACAAAGGTTTGCTGCCTGCCCCAACTGCCTGTCTTCATGAGCAGCACAACCCAAAGACAAGTCCCAAGTTTTATTGCTCATCTTGTTCCAAGCTGACTTTTATCTGGCAATGAAGTACATTGTTTTATATACTGTTCCTTTTTCTCCCCTTTGGCAAGATAAAAATCTATGACTTTTACAATGTTTTTATTATACACTGAACTTTCTTATTACAGTACTTCTCACTATAAAGCCAGCTCTGATATTGTAACAAATCAGTGTAATGTAGCTATGGAGCACAAAGCACACACAGCCCTAGGATACAAACTGCAACGTGAGATAACATTATTTACATCTAAAAGATACAATATATGGGATTTTGTGTTATAAATACCTGACTGAAGGGAAGTTTCTCAAAACTTGTGCTGCTCATTCACATTTACCAAGGTATCCAGGATCGACTTGAAGATGAAATTACAATTAGAAGGTTTTTATTTCTCTATGCACCTCCTGAAAATCTAAATATAGACACTGTGCTTCATTCAGATTCTGTCACACATCCAAAACATTTAATAATGCAGTCTGAGGCCTCCAGGGAAGGAGAGAATGCAAATAAGATTTTGTTTCCTGCTTCACAGATGCTTTCACCTCTAGATATTTGTTCCAGAAGGATACTAATAATAGGAAATGACCTAAAAATCATTAGTGTTTACAATTATACATACTAAATAAAAAGAACTAAATGTTGCTTGCCAAGTGGTTTTATAGATATTTTAGGAAGGCTGAAAATGCAAAATCAGACATTTCTTTCCCCTGAACAGTAACGAAAGACACTTGTATGAACTGACATCAGCCCATAAGAGGCTACAGTGACTACTGGCTTTGCTGAAAATTTTAATCGTATACCTTTCTATAAACAAGTCCTATTAACCAGCTCTATTTTCAAGACTGAAATTAGGAATAAACTGTTTGAAATATATGTATTTAAAAAATCAACTTTCCTACAAGCATAACTTTGATTTCTGACAAGGTATGAATCTGGTTGGTGAGTTATTAGTTCTAATTCCAGGCCAAGGCCAACTGAAAATTCAAAGACAACGTGGGCCAATGGTGAAAGGCCACAGAAAACTGCTCAAACAACTCATGGAATGGTTTGGGTTGGAAGGGACCTTGTAGATCATCTAGATCCAGCCCCCTGCATACGCAGGGACACCTCCCACTACATCTGTATTTCTCAGAGCCCCATCCAACCTGGACTTGAACATTTCCAGGGATGGGGCAGCCACAAAAACACACAATAAAAAAATAAAATAAATAAAAGAGACTTCTGGAAAAGGTAGAAAAGACATTAAGTAGCATGGGGTGCCAGAAAGGCAGATTAGGAAAGACTTCAGTGATCAGCTTAAGCCTTTGTGATGAGTTAATTCATCTCTTTTTGCTCAACGCACACCTCAGCCTTTAGGAACAAATGCTGGCTGACCCTTCACGACTTAGGCAACAATCAGGGGAATAAGAAGAGAAGTTACACAACCTCAGTTGAAAGTCTGCACCACGGCTTATTAACAGTAGTAGCAGTGGAGAGCCAAAAGGAAGCACAGCCAGCCTGACTTCTTCGAATGAGACAAGAAAGGCGCCAATCTGGCCACGCAAGCTGCACATCTGAAACAGCTTACAGGATTTCCACATTCTCCCAGCATGTTGTAATTCAGGGTGCTTGTGCCACACAACCTTGTAGATCTGAATAAGCAACAGCTTGCAGTAAATTCAAAACAAGCTCATTTCCAAGAATTAGATATTTTCCCACAGATATGAGCAACTGACTTCCAAGAGTTCGAGCAGCCCACGATGTGTGGCTGAAAAGTTTGTAACCAACTGCCAAAACGATTCCACACCAAGAGAGAAAAAAACCCTTGCATTTTAACACCAGCAAAAAGGAAAATAATTAACCTTGTATCTGTTTGTAAAACCTTAAAAATACCTTCTATTTGCTTAAAATAAGTGTTTCAGAGTTAAATGATTTCATATACATGTGCATACATATATATGCACATTTATAAAGACCTACAGTGACATTATGTGAACACAATGTTTATGCTAGCATACCAGATCACTTACACTGCTCAAATAATAGAGTAATAGACAACTAAAATGCACAAATATGTTTAGTTTCACTACTCAGTTCTACAAGCCATACAAATGGGACTGACTGAAAACTATCATTAATTAGTAAGAAAACAATTTATTACCACTGTGATTCTAGTACAAGACTCCTAAAGGACATTAGAACGTGGGTAATTTTTCATTCATGTCAACATTTAAGAGAAATAAACTAGTTTGGTTCAGCTTGCAGGCTTCTGATCATGAAGAACACCCTTGATGGGTAAAATGAGCACATAGAGGAATCAGCAATCAACAGTTTAACATTTTCTTTAAGGGCAGACCAGTACAGTAAAAGCAGGAGGCAACACCTTACGAGGAAACACTTGAGATAATTACTCCTAAACATCCTCAGGTATTTTTCAAACCTCATTATCTGATTTAGATGGTTTAGACCTTTTAAAATAGGAAAATAATACATGTAATAATATATGTAAATGCAGCACATTTACAGATGAAAGGATTAAGTTTCATTATTTTTCTCAAAAGGAGGGTTTTGTTGGTACTAAAAGTTTCTGTTTACTTTTTTCAATTCAGATAGTTCATTTTGAAATCAAGCTTTAAAATTAAAAACCTATTTTTTGCCTAATGGTTCACATGACAAAATACTAGACAATCAAATACTCACATTTTAACTCTTACTTCAAAACCCCAATATGATGTCACCACTAGACGTATTTCAAACATTCTTGCAATCATGTTTGATGTATTAAAGAGGTTCCTGCATCATTGCTGTTCTTGCCACATTCAGCAGATGAGATACACAATCATAGAAAGTATTCTCCGTCTGCTTTGAGAGGAGGAAACTCAGATGCTTTTGATAACCAGAGATGTAATTCAGGCAGATTATGAGATCCCATGTGATCAGTTACAAGGTCTCCGCTGAAGGAATGATAACTGGAAGTTGTAAAAACAGTCCTGCTGTAATGCAGTCCCCAAAATGCTGCATTGCTCTTAAATAGCACACAGTGACATTATTTCAAAAACAGTTGCAAAGATGAAACAGATTTTTACAATGTTTGTCAAACATTGAAAAGCCCCCATCCCTGCCTCACTAAATGAACACAGGCACAGCACTAGTGTATGGGGAACAGTACCTGAACAAAAGATTTCAATGCCTAATTTCAATTTCAGCAGCACAATATGTTACTCAAAAGCAAATGATAGCAAGAGCAAACAGAAAACGCTTTCCACCATCCAAGGAGGATACTGCCAACATACCATGTTATGCTTGCTTCTTGGACATTTCATAAAACAAACAAACACAACTAGGGTAATTATTTTGCTGTGTGATGTCTTGAAGAGACGAAGCATCTTTGCTGCCAGTCATCCAACATGAAGCTAATTTTTAAGTTCTACCAAAAAATGCAACTTACTCTAGGATGGAATGAGTCGCAGCCTGTGGATGGTAACGGTACAGCAGGAGGCAATGGTTGACTCGAAAGACTTCACCCCCCTTTTGGATATGTTGATAAAAAAACAACAAATCTTCTGGAACACCCTGGAAGAGAAGTAGTTATTTCACACCAGGAAGTGACCAGTATTCATACTTACATAAGAAGACACATTTAGTTTTTCTGCCAAATGAGTAAGGTCTAAGATAATTGTGTTCTTACTATTTCTGTATGTCTCTGTGAATGACCTAGGGGGTCATTCAATAAATATCTCTGTATAAAAGATAAAGCTGTTAGAAAAGTAGACATTGCTACTTAATTTTTAAGTACAGCTAACCCAAAGAACAGGGGTGGAAAAATAAATGTCACTTCATTTTGACAGGGATAACAAGCTTGGTAGAGGTTAGTCCCAGAAGAGAGGAACTTGGAACTTATCCCCATGGTACCTCCTGGGATTGCAAACAATTCTGCAGAAACATTGCAAGAAAAAAAATCTGCCAGAATTGTGACAATCTGTCAGGCTCTGGGAATTACTACAGATTTCATTATCATTTCACAACAAAAAATCAGAACATCTTCATGCCAGAGATACAGTGTCAGAAGGACAATCTTAAGGCACACAGAATTCAATGACACATCACAGCATGTAAAGCAGAAACCCAAGTTTAAAGATTCAGACTTATACTTAAGGTTAAAAGGCAGTATCTATTTAAATTTTGCAATGGTGCAACTTGAAATATGGCTAGAGCATTTAATTTTTCTGTGTTTAAATACAGATTCTTCTTTCCTCCAACCCAGTGTTTAAAAGGCCACATGATTTTACCAGGCTAAAAATCTCTGATCTATAAAACCAGGTGGGTCAAATGAAATATTCAAGTGTAGCATCAAATAAAAAGCTGAAAGAAAACAGGACAAAATTGAAATGGAAAAGTAAAAGAAGGGAAAGATGCTGAAAGACATTTTTTTCTCTAGGCAATATATCACATATATGACCAACAGAAGCAACCTGATACTCTATTTCAGTGCAGAAAAATAATAGAAGCACCAGTTAAAAAAAAAAATTTAATTGAATTTTTTCCCTATTACCACAGCTTCTGAGTTTCTTCCATAATTAAAAAAAGACGCCTCTCTAATTAAAATACTGGATACAAAATCCCTCTGTGGTTTCTTCTGGCCTTCTCGTTACATGTGCAAGACAGTTCAGTGACTGTTTCTCATACCCACCACACTGAGCCACCAAGGGGCTGTAAGGAGGGAAATTCAACAAAAAAAGCTTTGAATCCCAGAAAACAAACCCAAAACACTCAACTGAACAGCAGTACCTTCAGATAAATCAGAACCAAATAAAGCTCCAGACTTCACTATATTATGGACAGATTTAAGACACTGAATTGGGCCACACTCCCAGATTCTGAATAAAATAGATCCTGATCTGACTGCTTGTTAAGGGCAGCTCATCTGTAGCTATTGTTTTTCTTTGTAGATATTTGTCTGACTTCAAGTTTAAGGGCTGTGATGCAGAAGAAAACTGTCAGACAACTTCATACCATTTACTCTTTATATGAATCTATTTTGAAAGCCACAAAAGAAAGCTGGGGGTAGCTGGAGTAGCAGACAGGAACCACAGTAATCAAGAATATAAGAAAAACACTGATTCTTTCTATTGATCTTATAGCCCTTTCTATCTCTTTCTTATTCTGGACTTTAATGGAAATATTAAGAATCAGCAACAAAGTTGAAACCTTTTTCTCTTTTCCAGTCACACGTTAGACTGTGTCAGCCTGGGCACAAATTTTGTGGCACATATCAGCTTACTGCAGCAGTCATATTTAGATTCAGATATGTGATTACATCATACACATGTCTGCAATTAATTTTCTTCTGGACAACTTACATTATTCAAGATAAGTGTTAATATATTAAAAACGAGAGTCACTGCAAAAGTAGAAAGATCTTTCAAAATACTGTTCCAAGTGCTCTTCGGTTTTACTTTAACTGGCAGAAATACTTTGAAATAAAGTGCACTCACCCCTAGGAATGAGCAGGTGCCTTGTAGTGCTCAGCAGTGGGCTCTCACATTACAAAGGCACAGCACTGCCATGCATTTTTCAAGGGAGGAAAGATGTTGACTGTGTTACAGATCCTGCAGGGATGGGACTTCCTGCGGCTCTTGAGCGTGTACGTCTGTTGCAATATCAGAGTTTCTTCCCAACTGAGACGTGTTATTGGATCCAGATGGCATTTTAAACACCAGGAATCTTTGTCAATCAACACAACTTTCAAAGGAAAAGCTGCTTAACCACTAAAGGGATATTTTAATGTATTTTTTGAGAATCAATACTCATAGCTAAAAGGATCAATTAACAACCCAGCACCCCAGCAATGTGCTACCACATCAATAGTGCTCAGCATTAAGAAATACAATTACCTTGCATGTGACATTACTGGGCTATATACAGAATTTTCCACATTATAGGCAAAACCCATCCCTAGATGCCCTGCTGCACCAAGGGATACAGTTACAGGCTTGCTTCACTCAAGATTGTGGCCATCAGATGCTGATTACAACTCCCAGTGAAAACAGCCTGTGTCTGCCCTATTCTAAACACATGCACCAGCCATATAAAAATCAGCATTTGTTTTAACATATTACTACTAAACAGGTGAAGGATCTGTGTTTACCCAGTATTTTGGGCAGGTATCCCTTGATGTGCTGGCAGTTGGCTGTACAGATGAGGGGATTTGATTTTCTATACACAATAGGATGTCAAGCAGAACTTAATTTGAATTAAAGTATTTCCTTGTTCAGGGACCAAACTAAATATCCCACGATTCTGCTCTTGGCATCTCATTGCTCATTGCTCACTGTTTCTCACTCCTAGCAGACCCCTGTGCATCAAACAGCACTCCAATTAGTGTGCCCTCAACACATCAGCTTGGCAAGGAGGTACAAGCCACCTACCACTGCAACAAGAAATTCTGGCTACAATTTTTGCAGCTCCCTCATCAGTAATACTGAAGAGCCTCAGCAGGGATGAAGATACTAAACCATAATTTTTTGAGGGCTTTTAATGGAAGAGTGGCCCTCTGTGCAATGCTGTAACTAGTAACACCTGGTGAGAGATCATCTTGTTGTCCTGGAATGACCAACAGTAACTACTGCAGACCTTTGGGCTGACAGAAACATAGGGTCTTTTGGTCACTTGGACAGGACTTACCATTAGGCTCTACAGGCATAAACACAATGTAAGATCTACCTTTTAATGCTGAAACTAGAATAAGAGATTGATTCTATCACAGAATCTATTTCTCCCAACTTCCTCATCCATTTTTGCCCCACCTGAGCCTTCTCTCAGTCATCTTTGACAGATGTTCTTCCCCTGTCCTCTTCCAGCTGACAGGCATTCTAGCAGTGGGAGAACAACAGTGGAGCCATTGCCTGCACAGAGCAGTCCAGCTAGTGAAAATAGGAAATCTACCACTGCAGGTTTCCTATATGCATTTCTAAAAAATAGTCATTACAAGACAAGGGAAATAAATCTATTTACACATAAAAACCCTTCAGGTTGGGGAGGCATCAAGGAAATTGGGCTATAATTTGGCACACTTTTTTGTAGACCAGGCAGCACCATCAGGGTAACTGTGGGACAGAATGAGCCAAATTGCTTTAATTCCTCAGAGGAGCCTAAAATTGGTGAATGGAAAGAACGAATGAAAAAGGAAGTGACTTTTGATTCATACTAACCTGTTTCTTACAGGCCTTTGGAAGGAGCTCGTTTCACTGCTATTTTTAAACTACCCATTTTTTACTGCATATTTTAGAACATTCATTAAAAGAGAAAAACACTTAAGTATTCATATTATGTTGCATAAAAAGCAGATTATATTCTCAACTCAGACTCATTTAGCAACAAAGCAGAGACGTTGAGTAAAAAAATAAAAGTACCCTCTCCAGGTGCAAACAGCTGCCCACCAGAATTTCCTCAGTCTTGAGCTACGTCTTAGACTTACAGAAATAACACAGAGGGGTTGGTTGCATGGAGGACACAAAAGACATCCCATGTTGAGGGAAGTACTCCTGCCTCAGAAACAAATGCTGTTCTGCCAGGCACTAAAATCTCCTACTCACCAACAGATGCTGTTCAAAGTGTGCTGCTAATGGGGAACAGCTACTGAGCTGCTGGAAGCTGAAACTAAGTGAGAAATCACATCTCTTCTCCAATTTAAATGTAAAGGTGAAACAAATAAGGAACTAAAGTCATTTATCAAGAATTATACATCCTTCAGTCTCTCCCTGAAGATAAATTTTCTATTAAATGTCAATTGTGTTTTTCTTTTGTAATTAACAACTTAACATTATTTGTTTCAAGGAGGAATTATAATTGAAAATACTCCTTAGTTTAACTTCCCTTAGGAGAGTCACCAGAGCTATGCAAGCAGACTCACCACAAGCTAACTCCATATTTAATAGCTATTAATAGCCTCTCTTCAGGATTATCCAAGATACTCTTAAGTTTCTCTTTCTGCAGATCTGTCGCTTCATTTTTTGGCTCCCATCCAAATCATGTCTTTACATAATTTTTCCTTGATGATAAGGCCTGAAAGCCTGTAAAATTTACTTCATTGTTTGGGAAATAACAAGTTAGAGGAAACTTCAAAGGTTGTTTTCATCCAAATTTATTGGCACAGAGAAATTCAGTTAAACAAAGATGATGGGGAAGTCAAATGGAAGGGAGGTGGTAAATTCTAAATGATATTTAATAGCAGATTAGCAAAAAATGTCACTTCACATTGGGCATAGAGTGACTTTTCAAATAGCTTATAAATTATAATTAATCATTGGCTCTAACACTTTTTCTTTCCTTTTTAGATCAAATACTGATCTCTGTTCAGCCTTAAATATACTGAGCCAAAACATTAGTGCCTGTGTTTTATCCAGCTTTTCCCTTCCTTGCTAGGTTATTTGACAGACTGACCATATTTTATGTTCCAAAAAACCAAGTTCCCACTTAGTGTTTTACCTTTCAGGCATTATTATAACTGTTAGTCTTTCTGGAAGGAATGACATTTTTGTGCTCTGGCAGAGAAAAATGAAAAGATGCCTTAGTTAGCACCTAATAGCTTACAAAGTTATCTTAGAGCTTTGCAGCATGTGCTACAGTCTCCTGTGCACCAAAGGATATTTTGACACCTCCTCAATTTATGTTTTTTGTGACCTTTTATCATAAAAGTAGATCAAAAGTGAGCTCCAGACACTTTGTTTGGAGCCACAGTTCGTATTCACAAAGGCCAGTGGCTTATAATGTGTTGTTCCATCTGGGGCTCATTAAGAATAATTTCCCCCTGTTTTCACTTTGAGATTAGTTTAGAACTTTCAGGCTGTCACTCCATTTTTAGTTTTCATACACTAAAAAAGGAAGGTTAAATACTGAGGTGACAGGAAATTTGGGGCCAAGTTGTGGTAAAACTCAAGAGAAAGAAACAAGTGTGGCATATTACAATTGTGATGTCAAGAATAATACTGCTTGAATAAAGCCAAGAATATACAATTTACCATATTTGCCTGGAGTGGAATCTGCAGGTTAGCAGTGCTCATTTATCCAGGATAAATTTGCTCAGGATTTCTTAGAGCATTTATCTACAGCAACAAGTTGGTTGTTTTAGCTCAGTGCCATCACACACAAGTGACTAGAACAAAAGGACAACACAATGACAATGTGTCTTCCCGGTGACTCCCATTTGGGCATTAATACCAAACAAAATATGCTGTCCACCTGAAGAATACACTTGGGTAGCAGTACACAAGGTGAGTTGGATACAACTGCAAAAATGTTGGGTTTGTCTGCAAACTGAAGTGCCCTGTTGAACACATGAAGCAACAACTTTGCTTGGCTAATAATAAACACCATGTCTACCACTGTGCAGTTCCCTGCCTCACCAGATGATACAGCTTTGACATCTGCTTTTCATATTACACCAGATCACATAAATTTTTTCCTCAGCATAACTTTTTGTGACACTTTTGAGCACAGTTTTGACTTTACAACAATGGTGCTGGCTGTTAGAAGACACCCAAAGTATAGGGGCTAAACCAATAATGTGGATAATTGTCACACACTGATTTTCAAGTGTAAGTTCTGAAGGGTTTAGTGAAGTCCTGCTCCTTCTTCCAGCAAGGAAGTACCATGCTGCTTATCTCAATCAGTTTGATAAGAGGAAGATTATTTCCCTTTAAATTCGTAAAGAATTTAAGCCAGAAATATGGTGACTCTCCTCCTAGCAGTAAATACTATTTAAAAGGTTACTTTATAGACTTGTGACCATTTATACTGTACTATCTCAGTCTTAGCACACCATTAGAGCTGGTTAAAGTCAACTACTTTTAGGTACTTCTGCTTTAATTATCATATATCTGAGGCTGCATAAATAACACCTCTACCATTTTAGTTAATTAGTGTTTAAAGCAAACCTGTCAGGTTCTTAGCCACCATTCTGAAAATACTGCTCAGGATTTTGCATGGACTTTCCTATAGTGATTACATAAAAGGAATTAATTTCCAACAACTGGAGATCATGACCAGAAGAACATCATTTCTAGAAACATTCTGTAAATATTTTCTTTAAATCTGCTTCACTTCAAGCCTGGGTGGACAGAGAGATACATGCACACCTACCTGTAACAAGAATAAAAGACAACTACATCATAGCTTATATATTTCTATTCTACCAATCCACCCATACTACTAACATAAACATCAAATCACAGTTTCTTCCACGGAAGAATTATCTTCCATTTGTTCTAAGTGCTGAAATATGAAGAACAGGTGTTTGGATTTAATTCTAAATGAGAAATGCAACTTTTTGGCAGAGAAACAGTTCAGCAAATGGAGAAAGCTAAAACGTGGAGATTTGCTGCCTTGTTTCTGTTTACTTGCAGCAATATGACACTTACGGTTACACTGTTAAATACCAACCCAAAAATGGAGATGGAAGAGATCAAATATCATAGCCAGATCATGGGATAGAACATACACACACATGGATATGATCCTGAAGAGTACTCAGTATTAGTTTATAACAGCTCTACTCATATACAGAGAAAATATTTCTTTGCCTCAAAGGAATTATTTTCAAATAAAAACGAACACATCATGTCAGTGCTAAATATCTCCCTGTGATAAATGCTGAAAAGACTTAGGATTTGGTTTTGTGTCCTCTAAACCTACATAGAAGAAATGTCTGACTCCACTGCTTGTGTTTGTTGCTCTGTTCATATCTGTCATCACCCTTGTTCGTGGGGTATGTTTTGAAGGCCCTTTGTATCAGACAGGGTTTTAGTTTTGACATGCTGAACACTTCACAATAGAGACAAGTTTAACTTATCACTGGTAATTTTTAAAACTAGAAAGACATACAATACATTGTGTCTGAAAAATCAGGATTAAGATTGTCAGTATATTATATCTGAAGAACTAGTTCCTACACAATTATATATAGGCAAACTCCCCCAAAAACCAACAAAAAACAGAACAAAGAAAAAAACCAAACCAAAACTAAAAGCAAGAAGCACAGAACAATAGTCTGTTTGATTTAACCTCTTGAACCTTATCATTAGCCTTGCTGTTCTATTGTTGTTGTTATGTTTTAGCTTGCTTGCTCTTTCTTGAGCTTAATAACAATACTCAAGAAGTTAAGTCAAACATTCCTCAGGGAATGAAAATACAATGATACAGATGAATAAAAAATAAAGAGCATGGGTCAGCAAATGTAGATTGCACTGGGAGTCACCCAACATTCCCAGCTCTTCCACTCACCCACCAAGTAATTAAGGGCAAATGTTTTCATTGCTCTAAACTCTTCTGTTCTCTATCTGCTGTCTCTTTAAATCATAATTGTGTTGGCAGCACAAAGAATAACATTTGTATATCCTCATACATCCATATACGTGTGTTTGTGTCTGTAGGAATAGATACACACTGCATGGCACAGGAGGGCTCCCTTTACAGGCTATAAAATGTTGTAATTTAAATAAGCAAATAGGAAATGGCCTTTGCAGTTATTTTTTAGAGTTCTATTAAATGAAGGATTTAAAAAAAATAAAAAAATTTCAGAACAACTCATTCAAGCCCTAAAATCTCACCAAAACCACTAGAAGCAAAACCCCTTAGATCCAAAACACACAGAATGGATCCAAATCCATCTGAGTTATATCTATTTGCCAACATATTTCGTATCCTACCACAATAAATACTGCCAGTAGACATCTCTGGATTTCATTCCATGAACATGCTGATGAGCCTAGAGCAACCAAATTGAATTCACACAGGAAATGTATAGCAAAAAAGTCACCTCAGTCTCAGTGGAGAAACACTTCTCAGATAACAGTAACTTAATTTCTAACCTCTCAGTCCTGAGCCTTGAGAAAAAGCTACTTAGTATCTTCCAAGGACAAGCCTGAGAACAAAAACTGACAAGTGGATATGAGAAAAGTGGACAAATGAGATTTAATTATAGTAGTTTTATGGCACATTGTGACCTTCCCTCCTCCTTCATTTTAGAGATATAAATCTTTCCCCTTAATGTATTACAATCTCTTTGTCTTCCTGCACCTTTCTTCCCTCCAATCTCCTTCACCAAAACTACCTCACCTTTCAGAGATGATTCATAATGAAACCACAAGCTGACTTTTGTCAGTTATGTCCTTCAACCACCAGTTACCCCAAAACAACTGTACTTGGTTTACAACTGTGTTTTTTTAAAAAAGAAACAGCTATACAGTATGACCCAGAGTTAGTAGTCCTCAGTTTTTATCTATATGCCTTTGCATATTGTTTCTTAAAAACAGGTGTAGGACTGTCAGATGGTTCCTGGACTGCATATTATCCATAGCACTCACCTTCCCATCCTCATCAAATTTTCCCACATGAAAAAACCATTCTCGAGAACAGAACCAGGTTGGCATGATCACAGTAGGCCCATGGGAAGTATATATCTAGGAAGAAGGTGAAAAGAACCAGTGTTAGTTAATAGAATGGCAAAACCAGCATCTGTTGGGGAACCAAGCAGACCTTACACATTCACCTGAAATCCTGCAAATACTTATGCCTGTACTTAACCTTCAGCAATTTTAAGCACTGAGAAATGCAAGTGCTTAACATTTAGCATGTTCTTAGCGTTTAAACTGCACAGTACACCAGCTCCTTGGAGGTGTCACAGCCCACAGATTAATCTACTTCTTGCTTCATATTCCATGACCTTCTCTTCTATCATAAGTTACAACCCACGAAGAACACTTCAAGCTTCATTTCAAATTCAGAGACAGATCCTGGTAATGACACTTCTATGAATAATGACAATGCTGATATTGAAGGGAATGAATTGAGAAGAATCTTTAAAAGTTCTTAAAATTAATGCTACAACTGTTGTGCATTGATTTTTCATTTTATATTCCTTATACATATATTAAATAGGAAATGTCATTGATCTTTTATTTTAGCCAATGACAATTAAATCTCAATCAAGCTTGGACACCTAAGATGCAATTTATTTTATACATTACCAGAGTACTATGGATTTGCTACCATGTTACCTATCTTAAAAGGTTGTTGGAACAAAATGTTTTAGGGACTGGAAAGAAAGTGGCTGTTTCATCCTCTTGACTAGTGACAGCCAAGAACTAGACAAATTGGTCTTTGCAGCTTTAAGCAAATTTGTTGTAAACAGAATGGTGAAATAAACCAGAATCTGGATTATGGAAGGTAAATTGGTTCTTTCTTTTGTTACAAGTATCGAGCTAAACAAGACTGAACTTGTCAAACAGAATGTGCAAAGTTGAGACATGAGCCTGTGCCTGCTTGCAAGAACAACACAGGAAATAAAGGGCACAGCCTGGTTTTCAGAGGCAGAAGAAACCAACTTCACAATTACTGCCAGTCTTCAAGCAGTAATGAAAATGCTGATCTTATGAGCAAATGATTTAATAGCGTGTTATAGGGGTAATACTAATATTCCTGTATTGTTCAAATTTTTAAACATACGTGCATGAATGTAAATTTTGCCACGTGCACCTAAGCATTTATACTTTAGAGGTGCTCCTCTTGACTTCAACCTGGGATGGAGCTCCTTCAACTGTTCTTATGTCTGGCAACTTCCATTTCCACAGGTAAACACAGATATTTTTATACAGACACTTAGGATTCCAACTCTCCAAACAGATTAGATGAAAAATCTAATCAAAATTCAACAGGTGATCTACTCCCATTTTTCTTATGGCATGAACCATCTGACCCACAAAGGCACCACGTCAGGGTGAAACAGTGCATGCTAACTTCAGGAATAGAACAACAGAACTTCATGGTCTGTAGAAGGGTCCTAGAGTGACTCATCTCAATATAGACACTTAAATTTCAGTCAGAATAATCCTATTATTTAACAGCTATGATTTAAGACATTAGGTGCTTGTTTGTAACTGAAATATACTGGATCAAGTGTGCTAAATGTCAAAAACTCCCCCCAAAAGTCAGTGGAGCTGAAAGAGTCAAAACAATCCCAGAAAATCAGAGCAGACATGGTTAGTCAGTACATGGTAATTAGCTCCACACTAATTACAAGGGCAATTGAGTATGGTCTGAGCTGAACAATGACCAAACAGTAATCCCAAAAGAAAACAACAGTAGGGAGAAAAGCTAGGCTAGAACACACTGCACGGAATCTCATTTCTGAATGAAAGAAAATCTTCAAAAGAAAGTCTTGAGCCTATTGGAATATGTGGAATGTGTTTGGAGAAGCTTGAATGTGATTTCTTCTGTGCAGGAGGTTCATCAGATAACATAAATGCACTTAATCTTTAAGATGTAGCTCAATGTAATTCTTCATGCTCATGTACTAAGAACATACATACCTAATACCTTTGATAATTTGGGTTCATATATTGACATGAAACACTAAGAAAGACACTAAGAAAAAAGAAAATAATCAAAATGTCACTTATGCTAACACAGATGATGATATGATGATTACATACTAGTTCATCATACACTGATGCCTTTCCTAAATCAAATAGTGCTCTACAGCTCACTGTCCATCTCAGAGGAGATACTAGAGAAGAATTACACAGACAGAACTGAGGATGATGATGAAATGGCTGGATTGGCACATATGATTTCATGGTCTTATTCTTTTAAGAAAGTATTTGAACCTGGAACCATACACCAGCCATGACTCAGTGAATTGGTAAAGAAGCTACTTCTAAGTTAGTATTTATAATGCAAAATAAACTTCAGAAAATTCATATTTGTTGTGCTGGCACAATGGACAAATTCATGCCACCATGCCCCCTTGCTATGCTAACAATAACATTAGTGAAGCTGAAATTCTTTTTTTCTTAGCTATTCAGCTGGATCCTCTAGTAACCACAAAAACACACATGTTACCACAAAGAAGGATGTAGGAAATCAGGGCATCAAGCACTGAGAGGACAGCAAGACCCCCTTTGCAGCAGCAGTGTGGATAACCCCTCAGTAATCTTTAACCTGACAGGGGAAACTGGCAGGAAACTGGCTCAAAGTCTGTATTTACAGCATATCTATATTAATTTAAGAGCTCTCCCACTCATCCTGTCTCTGGGTATGCACCCCAGTCACTCATAACAGCACTGGTCCCACCTGACCCCATGGTCAGCTCAATCAGAGCACCACCTTCTTAACAAAGCTATTATTTTCTTATTTTTTTTTAGTGTTTGTTTTCTATAGCCTTAGTTCTCTGAACTGGTTCACAGTGGGGTCAGACTAGCAGTACTGCTGACATACTGGAGAGGAAAGGAGCAAGCTTGGGAGAAGAAAATAAGACTTCCCTTTTTTTCCTTGCCCACGGTTAATCAGTCCAGCTCTAATATAAAACTGCACCCTCTGTCTGAATACTTCCAGCGATGGGATGAGAACTGGCTCAGGAAAAACATTAAACTCTTCACAACTGCACTGAAACACTACAGCATCTGCCAAACTTCTGAAAAATACCTTAAAGAACTTTTGAAATTTCATCCTAAGAGGAAAAAAAAAAATAACCTCTGCCTTCTACAGTTTGGAAATTCTAGGTTTCAGCTTGGATTGGTCAGATGGGAAAGTCTCCTCTGGATTTCTTTTTTTGCCTACTATTGTCATACACACTTGCCAAGGTGTTAAAAAATGCTTGAATTGGTTGACAGTGATGAAAAAGGCAACTTCTCACTTTGTGAGATTTTATACATAAATCTTTTAGGCTGCATGGACCAGAAACAGAGAAACAAAGAGCAAATGCTAGCCTTAATCTGAAAATCAATCCAAAGCAGATTTTGAATTACAATGCAGCTCTGGAACTGCTATGCTTAGTTTCCTTGGAAACATTCCCCAGATCTGCCCAAGAAATGTTCTGCATCACCTCTGGAACCTCCACAGGTTTTCATTTCCCCTCGAGGAGTTAAGTCAGTATCTTGGAAAGCATGATGGACCTGTGAACCTTTCACACAGCTGTACTGGAAGATTAAGTCTTAAAAATAGTTGTTGCTATTCCAATAGACTGTGTGCTGTAAAGATTAACCAAATATAACCTAGTTGAATGAAATCAATGTTAAAAACTAACTAGAGAGCTCATGGATGAAGGTATAAATCTGCTCAGATTTTTAATTCCTCAAGAACACAGTGTTGTCATAACCAAACTGGAAGCCATCTCCACCAGTTTCCAGGTGATAGAGACAGGCTGCTCTTTCAGCACCATATTTGCTACATTATTTACAATTTTATTGTCATCTGGTTTTATTCCAAGGATCAAATAGGAAGTAATTTAAACTAATTTACTCTGGTTTGCTCTTGCTAACTGTTTGGCTATCGAATTACACTCAACTATTACAGAGATTATCTGAAAATAAATCTAAGGAATATAAAGAGTTGATAAAGTGACTTTAATTTGTTGTGTTTCAAAGCTGTCACCAAGCACATGTAATTCTGGTCCTCACTGATGGTCACTTCAGATCACATCAGCATTCAATTTGAAATTTAAGTTCCAATACTGAGAAAGGCATTGCTGTGTTTATAGTAACTCTGCATGGAAAATTCTATTTCCTGAACCAGCAAATCCAAATGTAACAACAATGTGCAAAAAGAATACATGCAGATGCTGAAACAACCTTATCACACACATTCTGTCATGCAGAACACAGAGGGGAAACACGACAGTTCCCACGAGCAATGCATTTAACCACAGGCCCAGGCTGCTTTCCAATTTAACATGCTAATTCCATAAAATACATTAGACATTTAATTCTACTTCTGCATTAGCATTTATGAAAATTATACCCATACAGATCAAGGATTAGAAGCAACCTCCTATGTTATGGTAAATAAAGCTTTCCAATACCCAGGCTCACGCATTGACATGTTAGAAAGTGAAAAGGCAAAAGTCACATGGCCACAATGATTCTGTGAGCTGTAGGCAGACCTTAGGCTAAAGGACATCACTCCTCACTTGGAAAAAATCATGTGTTAAGATAGCAGTGCATTAATTCAGCAGCAAATGTACCAGGACCTCATTACTGGAGATTACCAGGTTTACACCCAGAACCAGGTGCATATGTGAGTCTGACAGAAGAGGTACAGAAGTTAAGGAAGAGTCCTTATCCTACTTCAAAAAAGAATACTACAAACTTTATTAAGCTTGAAGGAATCTAAACACTCAATCTGGTATGGATTACACTCAGTTAGTTTATATGGAACTGAACTCTTTTACCCTTTCCTATGCCTAATAAATAACTGTCTGTATCACCTAATCATTGCATGCCTTGACATTGGCTGAAAATCCCAGCCCTAAAAAAGCCAGGATCTGGCACAGCAAAAAGTACATTTCAGAAATAAAACATGTCATGACTCTCCATACTGAAAGGTTGATATATACATAGTAATTCTGGTACAAGCTTCACTAAAAATCAGCATTACTTAACCTTCACAATCCCAGACTCTACAA